TTGGCATTCCCTTCCTGGTTTTCCAACTCAACCCTAGAGGGTGAGGCGGTATCTTCACCGCCTCCCTGATCCATACCCAAAATCCCATCACTGGGAGTGCTTGGGGTGCCATGCGGTGACCCCCTTGTCATCTCTGCCTGATTAGGGTCATGCGGCAACTCGCCAGAGTTTTCTTCTCTGTACTCTGGATCGAAGGCAGTCTTTTTAGTACGAGCCATTGCATCCTGCACAGAGACAGAGACGGTCGGTTTCGGAGATGAACAAGGAGACTCCAGTACCCAGAGGCGGCACCCCCAGTCCTAGACTCAGCCGTACCAGGAGACCGGCTGACCTCTAAATTGTGGTGTGCCGTGTGTGTGATGGGTGAGGTCATTATTCTAGGATATATACAGCCAGAAGATTTAAAAATAAAGAAACTCCAAAAGGCAAGGAGCCGAGACGTTACCTTGAAATTGAAGAAAAGTTTGGAGAAAGGAGACGAAAGGTTGTTGACCAACGATACTCCAGACGGTATCACTTTGAGCAGACAGCAAAATTGGCAAAAGAAAGAAAAGTTAATCACCAATGTTGCCCAAAGATACCATAGGCGGGAAAAGCCGGTTGTGGTAGATATGCAGAGCGAGTAGTCTGATTTTATCAAAGGTTGTCCAAAGACCCCCCAGACGGTATAAACCGGCTGAGGCCTATCAACGGACAACTTTCGAAAAGAATTGAACGGAACCAACACAAGCGGCAGAAGGCCGGTTGCATATCCGTTAAAATAATAAGTCAGTTCGCAGATACCCCAGACGGTATAAGACCGGTTGGGGGTTCCAGCAAAGCAGCTTAGAAGGGAATTGCTTGCTCATACCCCAGACGGTGTGAGACCGGCTGAGGGAACAGCGAAGCAGTTCAAAAGAAAGTTTTATCAAAGATACCCCAGACGGTGAAAAAACCGGCTGAGGGTCTATTGAATGCAACTCACCAATGAGATTGCTTGAAGATACCCCAGACGATGAAAAAACCAGCTGAGGGTCTATTGAATGCAACTCACCAATAAGATTGCTTGAAGATACCCCAGGCGGTGAAAAAAACCGGCTGAGGGTCTATTGAATGCAACTCACCAATGAGATTGCTTGAAGATACCCCAGGCGGTGAAAAAACTGGCTGAGGGTCTATTGAATGCAACTCACCAATGAGATTGCTTGAAGATACCTCAGAAGGCTTACACCGGCTAAGATTCTAAATAGACGCAATTTACTATAAAAATTGCCTAAAGAAGCTCCAGACGGCAAAGACCGGCTGCAGCTTAACCAAACATCCAACTAAAGAAACTGACTAAGTCAGGAGGATACCTTGGTGAGACGGGCAACGAAACACAAACGGTATCCGGATGTATTGAGGTTGAAGGCTGTTTGCACAAGCAAGCAGGCGGGGTCAGGAACTCTCTCTTTTTCTCTCAAGAAATTTCTCTAAAAAATGGCAAAGTGAGGAATGAAAGGAGGGAGATCCCTATTTATAGGAAATCTCAGAAGGTGAATCGTCACCTTCTCTTCCCCCTTAATTTGAAATTTGAAAAATAGAGGGAAGGAGGCGAACCGTCGCCCTCCTGCCTGTTGACACGTGTCACAGGCGCCGCGTGGCATAGCCACGTCAGCACCTGTGAGGGGAAAATGTTTAGGGTAAAAATTACCCTAGACACGTGGCTCAATGAGGGCCTGACACGTGTCACCTCCCTATAGCACCATGGGCATCCAACAGATGGATGCCATGTGGCATTGTACCCCCAATGGGGGAGCAGATCCTCATCTGCTATAAATAGAGAAATTATCCTCATTTATTGGCATTCATAAATACACACACCAAACCCGAGCAATATTAATTGCGGAATCTCCCGGAACCCGAGAGAAAAACCCGTTTACTTTCCACGCGTAATCTCATCCGGAATCATACTAACTTGATCTTCGGAGGCAGAACTCCACCCAACCGGAGTTTCGTGGTTTTGCAGGTACAGAAGTCAGGCGTGCATTCCCGGTGTTGTAACTCTCCCGCAGGACACCTCAGAAAACGCCGAAACAAGCCTCAACATCAGAAACTTCATAATCAGCATCTTCACTATCATCAAAAAGCCAAGCATCAGACTCAACATCAGTTTCCTCAACAACCAATTTTTTTTTTGCTCCTAGTGTTGATTTGCCTCCCTGCTGCATTTTTCTTCCTAACATCAAGTCCATACTTTTTTGTTGTGCTTCTAGGCACCCTCCACTCTTTGGGTTTAAGCCTGGTTTGTGCTCTAGGCTGGGTTGGTTGCCTTGGTACATTTGGTGTTGGGTGTGGTGGTTGTGGTGGAGGGGGTGTAGGCTGCCTGGGTTGGTGTGTTGGTGTTTGTGGTGGGGAAGGATACTGTTGGGAAACATTTAGTGGTGGAGGTGTGAGCTGTCTTTGTGGAGTGGGATGTCTGTGTTGAGTGGACTGTGCAGGGGTTTTTTCTTCTTCTTTGGGGTAAGTTTTTTTCTACTTGAAGGGTTCTTTGGTTGAGATGTTTTTGTTTGTGAGGGTTGAGGTTGTGAATCCCCTGGAAAAACCTCATCAGCTGTTGGGGTAGCAAACACCCTTACATAGTCAATCCCATCATCATAAGCATCCACAACAGGGACCTCCACAACCACAGTATATGCCTGCTGGGCCAAAAGCTGCTCCTCAGCTTCTGCTTCCTCTCCTTTCCTTCTATTCTCTTCCTCCATTCTCCTAATATTTTCAGCCCTGTTCTTCAAAGTTTTTGCCCAACTAGCTTCTACAGACTCAAACATAAGAGATGGTGTTTCTGTCTCTTCTATAAACACTTCTATTTCACTCTTCCCTTCATTCCACTCCCACATTTTTAACATTGCCCCATCATCAACTAACTCTAACTTACGATTTGTTCTAGGTTTACTCACAAACAGGGTGAAGTTATTAGGGAGAAATACGTTCTGTTTCACTGAATCCTCAAACATACACTCAAACAACTCCATCAAATTGGTCTTATCAGTGTCATCCACCCTCACATCAAAAGTACCACCTGGAGCACGAACTAACAACCACATTGCACTCATCCTAACAACAACATTTACCAACAACACATTACATCACAATCCAAACTATAAATCCCATACAAAACAAAAAACTTCACTTTAACATAATTCAAATTCGCATACAACACATCAAACTTAACTTTCATATAATTCACATTCGAATTTAATAGCAAACAAACTGACATAGATGATCAATTTCCACGAAACCCTAACCCTAACTCAATTTTGCAAAAAAAACAACAAAATCAGAACTCGAAAAGCAAATGGATAAGGATAGTAATACCTTGCGTATTCTTAATCCACCGAAGTTGCGAACTTTGTGCGAAATTCAGTCACGAACACCACGCTGTCTCAAAAACCTCGTCAAACTGCCTCTAAGTTCAACCGTTGGTCCCAATTTGCTTTCCTAGTTGCAATTCACTTCACAAAATCGACAATTTGCAATTTTTGGATGGATTTTTAGGGTTGAAGATCAATGAAGACAAACAGAGAGTTTCTTCGATGGAAAAGAAGAAAGATGGGGGTCAACTTTTTGAAGATGAGATGTTTTGTTTGGGAAAGTCAACCCTAACAATGGCGCCATTTAATGCGTAAGGGCATATTGGTAATTTACCCCAAACGGGACACTAACGGAAGTTACCATTAATGGCATTCTGTGCTAACGTGCACAAACTGAATGGTATATGGTGAATTAAAAAATTTTGTGTGGTATATGGTGAATTTTCGAAAAACTCAGTGGTATTTCATGAAAAATCCATAGAATATAAGTGGGTATGATTAAGAATAAAAAATTTGAAAAAGTAAAAGAGAAAAATATGAATGAAGACCACTATGAATAATGTGAGAGGGACAACATATTATAAAATGATAGTGGAGTTGAAAGGATGAAAGAAAAATAATATATAATATGAGTAGGGTTTCCACTTTTGGTAATGGGCCACTTAAAAGAAAACGGCCGTTCATGAGAAGTGGAGCACTTAAAAAAAAACGGAGGGAGTACATCTCAAGTGTAGACCTTGTGAAGGGATGATAGTGTCCCCTAAAATGTCTAAAGTTTCCTTGCTATTAATTAGTTTTAAAATAATTAACAAAATAAAACTTGACATATACTTCGTGTATGGATTTATTTAAAAGGCTAAATTGTGGTCATGCATGAAGCAAGGTCCTCCAAAGAAGACTCCTCCGCAGCCATCTTGAATTGAAAATCTAAAAAGAAAAGCTTAATATCCAACATATGTAATAGGAATAACTTTGCTGAGAGGGAAATGTCTAAAGAAACAAAATATGTTTTTCATAGGGAGGAAAAAAAATAAATAAAAAAAAAAAAAGAGGTAAGAACTGTATGAATATAGGCATCGATGCATGCAGAGATTATAACACTTCTTCGTCTAATATAAGGTATTTTGATCTAATATGTTGGTTTTTTAGAGTATTACTTCCTCTATCCCTATTTTTTTTACTCCATTGCCAAAATTTGAGTCAAACTTTGAAAATTTTGACCATAAATTCTCGATATTCTATAATAGGTAATATAGTTGTGTGGAATCTTGTTTGGTTCGTCTCATTGTATATTTAATTATTATCAACTTTTTACAATTTTCTCGCGTGTAAAAATGGAGATATAAACGATTTAAAACGTGTCTTGGAAACTGTGAAAAGTCAAATAGGGCAAAAATAAAAAGACAAAGAGAGTAATTATTAAAGGAAGTCAAACTAACTCTTTTTTTTTTTTGAAGGGTAAGAAAAAAGAAAACATTAGGCGAGGAGGGGAAGTCAAACTAACTTATGGCTAAATTGTGTCAACTTATTTACGTATACGTATAAGATACAAAGTAACGAAATTTCTGAATTGAGAAAATGTAAAAAATCAACAAGGAGATGAGGAAACATCTGGTTGAACAAGCAAAATCTTTTTACCCCGTAAACAGGAGATGGATGAACTGTGGAGATCAACAACGACAGAGAACACGATACAATAAAGTAAATATGCGTCCACAAGACCACAACAGAAATCGAACACTGACGAACTATAAACTTTTTGTGAAGAAAATAATTAATGAATTGATTACATGAGATAGCAACACAATAACACAAACACGGTGAGATGACAATTTCATGACAAAATCATGACACACCTCAATATTCCAAGAGATCGAAAAAAACTTGTTCGTTTCTAAAAAAAACCAAGGTATGGATTCACAAAAATCATTCCAAAGTTTCCTGCTATAGCAAATAGTCAGGGATTTGTTGTGTTTGTATGGAGGCATTGTTTGAGCTGCCCTGTTTCTCTTCTACTTTGTGTCTGTTATGACGGTGACGGCTGCTTTTTTTCTTTTCCTTTTGACTTCTTTCTTTCCCTTCACCACTCTCACCATGGCTATGCTGTCGTCTCTCCTTACTATGATTTTTATGCTTGCTTCTTCTGGAACTTGAATTCCCAACCTCTGAGGTTACAGCAACAGAATGTTCTCTCAGATCAAGAGGACCGTCATTGACAAGTTGCTTATCAGCTTCACTATTTTTTGATGAAGTAGACACTTCTTCATTTCCTAAAAGAACATCCCTCACTGCACCAGAAAGCAAATCCTCTGTAATCTCCAACTTTTTTGTAGGTATGAAATTTTCACCTTCATCCAGTTTGACAACCACTGGCCTAGGCTTAGCATGGTTTGGTTTTTTCTTAAGTTTTAGTGATTGATCAGTCAATTTCACAAGATCATTCACTTCATTGCCGTTCTTGTCCAGATTTTTACTTTCGATGGCGGGAGGGTAATCATTAAAACCTGTATCATCCTTTTCTGAAGAAAGATAATATAATCCATGTCTTTTGCGGTGCTGTGCAAGCAGAGATCCAGATATTGTTGACGAATCTACATCTTCTGCACCTTGGCCATTAGAAAGAAGATAATCATCTTTCTCACTGGAACGAGAAGTTCCAAGACTAAAGGTTGTCGATGGATTTAGCTGAATGTCGCTATAAATTAAGTCCAAATCAGTGAGACTATCTTTAAGACTAAGATCATCAGGTACAGGAATTCTTGCTTGAGCAGTTACTGAGATTGGACCAAGCTCTTCAACAAATAGATCATCAAAGAGTTTAGTGATTTCAGAAAGTTCAAAATCTTTCTTCCCTGATTTGTCAACATGATGTCCAGAACAATGAAGAACATCTTCCTTTACTAAATTCACAACTCCAAGAATATTCCGTGCCCTTTCTTGTATTTCCACTTCATTGCTCCATAACAATGGTCCTACAGCTGTTTCAGTCATATTTAGCAGCTTAACAACTGCATCTTGGGATGAAGTTTCTCTCTCAGGCAATGATAAAGTGGGTTTCTCTTGCACAGCATCTTCAATGCCATATTCACCAATTGACCAAGAATAAGATTCTTTGACTGCAGACTCAGGCATTTGCTCAAAATTTGCAACAGCTTCATGTGTTGACTTATCTTGGCTGTCAGGGCATTTCAATCCAGACTTAGATTCGAAGCTTAAAGATGCCATATCATCAGCAACGGAAGCAGCATCCACTACATCTTGCTGCCAGAGATAAGACTGAAGGCAAAACACTAAAACCTTAAATGTAGACTGAATATAGACAGCTCTTACTAATGGTGGCAGTAAACTCGTACGTGGCTGCAACAAAGCCTCCATCAGTTCATATGGGTTATTTGAAAACTCAACATACTCACCAGAAACCCAAGCGGCGGCAGATAGTATCCCGTGTAAGAAAGGATTCCCAAGTAATGCAGGATCAACTAACAGGTCCCGGCCAACCTTGACTAGCTCAGGTCTGGCATCCTTTACTCTCATACCAATATCAACAAGTTGGTTCTCAATTTCCTCCCCTGATTGACAATGTGGAACCCTAGCCATTTCCCCAAGAAGTGATACATACCAATCAAAATCAAAAACAATTTCATAATAATTCCTAGAGCAAGTGACCAGTATCGATCTGAGGATCTCATTACAGAATTCAGGGTCAGACTTCAGGGCATAATTAACCAAAACCTTGGTAATCTCAGCCACATTATCCTCTGACACCATAGACATGAGAAGCCGCGACGAAGTTAGCTTGATATTAGAATCGACATCACTAAGAGACTTAAGCACAACATCCTTATTCTCCAACACAACCCACAAGTGCTTCGTAGCTAAATCAGAAAGCGCTTGTAAACCAAGATACTTCAAATTAGGATCATCCTCAGTCAAAAACTCCTTAATCTTCACACTAGCAAGCTTAACAGCAGACTCATGATCACTCAAGCTACTCACAACAGTTCTTATACACTCAAACACCAACGATTTTGCCATGGACCGCTGCATAATCTCACAAATCGGACCAACAATCTTCTTCCCTAACCTAGGCTCTAATAATGCCAACTTAGCAAACATCTTCAACACCTTGATCAACACCCAGTTATTCTTAGAGTTAAGCAAAATTCGATAGAACTCGGGCGCTAATGGCAAATACGTTTTCGTGTCTCGTAAACTAAGCTCACAAAACACCCCAACAGCGGCTGAAATAGCCTGAGGATCAGTACTCTCCAAATTATCAACTAATCTCTTAAAACACACTCTAACAGCATCTGGGTACTTGTCAAAAACCCTCAAAAAAACAGCAATCGCCTTCTTTTTAACATAAGGTCCAGTACTAGACAACAATGTAAACAAATCATTGCACAAATCACGGCACAAATCAGGCGTACCAATAACAGATAAACATTGAATAGCAAGACTGACCTCAAAATCATTAGAACTGGAAAGATCTTTCCTGAATTGATTCGTAACAAGAAGAAGAACTTCAGTAGATTCATTGAAAGTAGCAGAAGCAGCTAAATACCCAATTCTTTTGAGATTGAATTGAGGGTAACTGATAACTTCTACTACATGAAAAGCAGCCCAAGAAATCTCAAACCCATAAATTGAATGAAGATAAGTTAATTTGAGAAGTGCAGTTGATTTCATTTGTGGGTCTGTTGATTTGATTTCGCGACGAATTTCCTCAATGGCTTTTGAGAGGAAAGATGAAAGGGGTGTTGATGATTCTGGGGAATGAAGTCGAATTCCTTTGATTAAATCATCTAATGAGCGTTGAAAGAATGAGTCCATTATTGATGAATTCGCCATTAATGATTTGGTTTGAGCTTTATTGATGGGGTATTTTAGAATTGTGGGGAATTCATGATTGAGTGTTGAAGGTTTTGGAAGAAGAATTGGGGAAGTAGATGATGATAGTAGTTGTTTTGATTGTCCGAATTGGGGAAGTAGATGATGATTGTGATTTGTGAATTGTGATGATATGAATTCAATCAGTGCAGAAAGGCAAAGTTTTGAGACCTAAATCTGATTTCTCTACAGCCAAATTATGCGAGAGGTTTACACGATTTCTTTTTTTTATTTTATTTTATTTTTTTTTTAGGGTAAATTAACATTTGATAAAATTAATAAAATAATATTTGAGATTTTTTTGACTTTTATCAACAAAAAAATCAAAAATTGTTTTTTATCACTAAAACTTTTATTTTACCACCAAAAAAAAATTAAAAATTATTTCTTACCACCGACAGTTAAAAAAACCGGTAAACCTCATGAAATATTTTAAATTCTTCGATTTTCGTGCCAAACACATGGTGTTCAGGGGTTTTGGCGGTATTTTAGCCCTTAACTCCAATTTGAGGTCAGAATTGACTAAAAACGACCGTAAATGACTCGTTTTTCCTACGTAAAAAAACTTCGATTTGCGTGAAACACGCAAAACGAGGCATTTTCGATTTTTTTTTGTCAATTCTACCCTGAAATTGGTTCCATAGAACCAAAATGCCCCCCTAAACCTATGAAGAACATGTTTTGCGCACGAAAGTTGAAGAATTTTTTTTAAACCGTTAGATTTAACGATTTTCTTGACGGTTGGTGGTAAAAACAATTTTTAGAATTTTTTTTTTTTTTTTTTTTTTTTGGTAAAATAAAAGTTTTAGAAGTTTTGGTTTTAAAAAATAATTTTTTTGATTTTTTTGGTGGTTTGGGTCGGGTTAACTTCAGATCGGTTCATATTCGGTTCGAATACTTCGGATCGGGTTCAAAACGGGTTTGACTCGGTTAATTTCGGGTTGGATGACTTTGGATCAGATTGGTTTCGGTTTGGTTGATTTCAGTTTTGTTCAGTTCGGTTTGATTTCTTCAAAAAATAAAAAAAAAATTAAAAAAAATAAAAAAGGTTTGGTTTGATTACTAATACTAAGGTTAATTCAGTATTCGGTTAATTTTAATTCAAATACTTTTCGTGTTTGGCTAAATTTTGGTTGGGTTGACCAAATTTGATATTGAAATAAGTTTATTTTTTAAAATAGAGTAATTATTGAGTTTTTTTTTTTTACTTGTTATTGGGTCGATATCAAGTCATTCATGTGTCATTTTACCATATCGTGTCATTAATATATGCTTAAGTGTAAAAAAAAGGTAAATAATAGGTTGGGTTTAAAATTATGGTTGGTTTGAAAACATGTCAAGTCAAAATTAGACCGGGTTAAAATTAGGTCAGGTAAATATCAGTTCGAATAAAAACATATCGGATTGAATTTGGGTATTTGTCAGGTTAATTTCGGTTCAGATTTATTTTCGGTCAGGTCAAATCAGTTCGGTTTAAGTTCAAGTCGGGTCAAAATCGGTTTCAGGTTAAGTTCAAGTCGGGTCAAATCAATTCCGGATTAAGTTCAAATCGGGTCAAGTTCGAATTCGGATTGAGTAGAGGTGTCAATTCGGATAACTGGATGAAGTTTGGGTCTGGTCTATTCGGGATGGGTTTGTTCAGGTCGGATATGTTCGGATCAAAATTATTCTGTTAACTCAGATCGGGTCGGGTTAAATTTGGGTCATGGTATATCGAGTTTGGGTCGGACATGGGTCGGGTCAACTCTAACTCGGTTCATGTTCGATTCGGATAAATTCGAATCGGGTTCAAAACGGGTTTGACCAGGTTAATTTCTAGTCGGATGAATTTGGGTCGGGTTGATTTCAGTTCGGATGATTTCGGTTCGGTCAAGTTCTGTTTGATTAAGATAAGGTTGATTCAGTATCTGTTCAATTTCGATTTAAATCCTTTCCGTGTTTGTCTAGATTTTGGTCGAGTTGACCAAAATCAATATTTAAATAAGGTCATTTTTAAACTAGAGTAATTATTGAATTTTACATTATTATTGGGTCGATATCAAGTCATTCATGTGTCATTTCTCATATTGCGTGGTTAATTATTACGAAATGCGAAGAATTAGTTTTCTCATTCAATAAATTCTTGTGTAATGTTTATCTTGTAGCCAAATTTAAATTGAATAATTATCGAGAACTTCTCATACTTACGTACATAAGTGAGACGATTAGTAATGAACTAGTGATAGACTGATAGATTGATAGATGATAGTTGATGAGGGGATTTTTTCCCCGCCACGTGGACCAATGGAGCCCTGCCACGTGTCATTCACGTGGACCAACCAGAGCCCGCCACGTGTCACCTCGTGAGAGGTCCAAGGTGGACCAATCAGGCCACGACACGTGGCAGGCGGATTGCCAGCTAGGAAAGTGGCCTTTAATGGCCCAAATACCTAGGCAAGCCCAGTTAGTCCTAGGTTTCTGAAAACCTAGTAATGGGCACACATTACAAGACCCTATAAAAGGGAGATGTTCCCTCTGAGGAACATCATTCAGAAAATTCCCAAACACACATGTACATTGATTGCTGCGCATTAAACCCAGCATTAAGTGCACTCTTTAAGAGCTAAGGCTTGCATATCGAGACTGTCTCAGGCAGTCGGATGATCACTCCCCTTTCAAGAGGAGACTGATCCCCTTTACTTTCCGCATCTTTACATCCGAACACAATCTAACTTGATCGTCGGAGGCGGAACTCCCACCCACAAGAGTCTCCGTTGTTTTGCAGGTACGGGGGTCCAAAGGTCAGTCTTGGTGTTGTAACTCTCCCGCAGGACATCCAAAAAACCCCAAAACATTTGGCGCTGTCTGTGGGGAGAGTACTTCTAAGATGGCTTCACAAGACCTGTACCACCTCTTAATGTGAAACGGCCTATGGCCGATGTCCAGGTCTATACAGACCACGATACGGATGACGACTATGAGGTCAACACACACACGGCCCATGACGGGTCCCTAAGAATTCGGCACATCCGTCCCATCGAAAGGAGGGAACGGAATGGCGAACAGGCGGCCCTAGTGAACCAGTCGACCATTAGACTGGTCAACCCCAGGTAGCCGAAGGCTCCGTCCCCATCAACAGAAACGAGCTCATGACCCTCGTGACATGTTTCTAAGGGGAGATTAAGGACCTGATCGATAAACAGACGACTGTCCCTACCAAGGAATAGTCGGCCAAAAAGCCCTCCCATTCTGGGAGGAATAAGCCGGTCAAAGACCGAGAGGCCACTCCTTACCCTAAATCAAGGGAGGAACAAAAGCCCTTGATAAATTTGGCCAGACTTCGTATGCGACTCAACAACCATATATACCGTATAGACAACCTTATATGCAGCCGACCCTCTTTTGGGGGCAGGCGACACATAATGTCCAACCCTTGGACTGGCAGCTCCGATTGATAAGACTGGGGGAACAACCCTCTGCTTTTTCCAAGGAAATAACAGAGGCTACCCACCCGGCCAAGGTGAAAAATGTGTTGGTAGGTACCTACGACGGTACCACCAATCTAGAAGATCACCTTATGGCATACACCAACCTAATGTATCTACAAAGGTTGGATGATGCCGCATGGTGTCGATGCTTCCCGACCACATTGAAGGGCGTGCGCCAACAATGGTTTGGCAACCTGCTAGCCGAATGCATCAATAATTTCAGGACGCTTGCATACTTGTTTGCGTCCAACTTCTCAATGAACATCCCTGCGAAGAAAACAAGTCTTGAATTGGGAGCTATACAACAGGGAGAGAAGGAAGGCCTACGATCATACATCAGGCGGTTCAATCTGATGAAAATTCAGATTCAAGGACTGTCTGATGAGGTGGCCTATACAGACTTTTTCAAAGGTCTGAAAGACAGGTCGGCCTTCAAGTTCGACCTTGTCAGGAAGAGGGTTGCTACCCTCTAAGAGGCGCTGATCGAGGCGGACGCCTATATACAGGCGACCGAGCTCTGCGACATCAGTAAATAGTCGGACTCAAAGAAGTCTGACAAAAAGAGAGTCGGCCATTACAGCCGGCTACGAAAGAAAAGAAAAGAAAAGAAGTCTGGGTGGCTTATACTTCTGAATAGCCGTCCCAGAAGAAAAAGAAGGAAACGAAAACATACTCTCCGAAGTATGAATTTTATAAAGACTGTTACTCCATCCTCATGGAGATTAAGGATCGGGTATCTATTGAGAAGCCGGCTTCTATGAAAGGTTCCGCCAAAAATCTGAACAAAAATAAATATTGCCACTACCATGAGGAAATTGGCCATGACACCAACGAATGCTTTAGTCTCAAGCGGCTGTTGGACCGTCTGGCTGATAAAGGAGTTCTAAAGTCTTATATTTTGAGGTCCAAGGTTACCTTGCAAACTAACCCTGGGCAGTCGTCCAAAAAGAAATCTCCCTCTGCTAATAGTTCTGATACTGACGAAGAACAGATCTATACAATAGCAGGTGGCTATGCTGGAGGCGGCCGAACCACTCGGGGAACCAAAGACTACATCAGGCGGTTAGATCTCAGCTTAGTCTATGAGGGGCAGGCGTCTAACGACACTTTCCCTGAAGTTTTCATCTTTGAGGGAGACAGGGGCAATGTCAGGAGGCCACATGATGACCCCATTGTCATCGAATGCAAAGTGGCCAACCAAAAGGTTGGCCGAATTCTCATAGACACAGGCAGCTCCTCTGATCTCATCTGCCACAAGTGCTTGACCAAACTCAAGTACAAGCCTGAGAGCATGCACAAGGTCTCTCATCCCTTAGTGGGATTTGGAGGTGGATTTGTGCATCCTATAGGTCGAATAGACTTGCCCATCTGGCTGGGAGAAAAGGGAGAGGGACGCTATATGGTGGTCCGGTTCTTAGTTGTTGAAGAGCTGACGACCTATAACATGATTTTGGGGCGACCCACCCTGAATGAATCCAAGGCTGTTATAATTTCTTCTCTTATGCTCCTCAAGTTTGAGAAGGATGATGGAATAGTCGTCTCCCTTCGGGGAGACCAAAAGATGGCCAGGGAGTGTTCTCTATGATGTCAAACCCACTGTGGTCGCATCCGACCCCATTGGAGAAACTACTGACCTTGACCAAGTCAAGGAAGCCGTGCCTGCTGCCACAACAGCCAAATGGTGGCCGAGAAAAATGACAAGCAATAGCAATCATTGACCGGTGAACGACCTGATGAACTCCGTCCCCAGCCGGCTGGTGAGCACATGGACATCATTCTGGATGACTCTCGTCCTAAACGAACTGTCAAGGTGGGGACGACT